TAGATTATCTTAAGTTGTCACTGTACTTGTCCCCCTTTCAGAGCGGCTTGCAGGCTCACGGTTGCTTCTCCCGAAGGTGCTGGGTTGGCGCCTCAGGGTGGGGTCAAACATCAATCAAGATCAGTGCAACAAAGGCAAGGTAGTGGTCTAGTCACAGTCCATGAAGTGTATTTTAGTTCATTACAAATACTAGCGATGGTCTCCAACCTAAGAGCGATGGCATTCCGATGGCCTGTAGTAGAAAGGCCTTGATTCAAGACCTCGCCGGTTTCGCTCAGTTTCTGGCGGTCCTCATGCTCTGTTTGCCCTCATATGACAGAGGCAGAGTGCAGACCTCGGCAAACATATTTTTTTTCCTCTCCGGCATTGTTGGGGTGGAACAGCTTGAGGTCTTCAATGCATGTCGAATGTTGAAAATGATTTGAACATATTCCTCCGTTTGCACACGATTGAGGGAGACTGCATTCCCCTCCCCGACACATTTCGTCGTCGTCGTCGTCGGGGTCGTGGTCGTGGTAGTTCTAGTGGTAGTCGTCATCGTAGTCGTAGTGGTAGTGGTAGTCGTCGTCGTAGTGGTAGTGGTAATCGCAGTGGTAGTTGGAGTAGGAGTAGTAGTCGCAGTGGTGATGATGAGGCAGTGATAGTAGCAGTAGTTTTTGGGCAAGGCCCCAAACTTTCGCAGTACTCCATTCCCGGAAACAATTCCCTCTGATGGCGCTCTCAGTGATTGACTTGCATGTGGCCTTGGGAGCACTCAGTTGGCAGGTGCTGGTGTTGGTGGTGGTGTGAAAGTTCGACACCTCGTTCGAAGCCGTCCTTTCGGTCAAACACAGTTGTTCTCATGTTTCCATACACGCACAAATCAAGAAGTGTACTGCAGTATGCACGGAAGCCTCTCGTAGAAGCTTGCAGTTGACATGAACTGTTTTTGAGCTTCGTTCAAATGCCTGTCGCGCGCGCCCAGAGCGACATCAACCCGGGTGGTGCGCTTACGCATTGTCCAGGTGCATTCGGGTGATGCGCTTACGCATTGTCCGGGTGCATTCGATGCATGTCGCGTCCAGAGCGACAAATCGAGAAGTGTACCTCTCGCCACTGACTGTGGCTCAAGTGCGACGCAAGAAAAGCGTTGCACGTCCGGATCGGGGCGTGGGCGTTTCGGCTGATCGCGGCCGAGGGATTCCGTTCGATCGAACACGTTCGAAAGGTTTCAACTGTTTTT